CTCCGGCATCGCACGATAAAATAACTGAACCAACTGTGGCTCAGTGACCCCATGGTTAGGGACTGCGACAAGCTCGTCCATGACCCCCTTAAGTGCCCTTGCACTCTTCCACTGCCGTGTGTGGATTGTTTGGAGCTTGTCTGAGGCCTTAATTCCTTTAGTTACATCCGCGAAACGTTCGCGAATTAACTTCAGGAATTCGCTAAGGGGAGTGATGGTGGAGTACGCCACCATGTCGTTGTCACTTTTGGCGGCGCGAGCTAACGACCTGGCGAAGGTAGACACTTCGTCTCTAAGGGCGTAGAATGCGACGAGGACTTGCTCCTCAGGAATAATGTCCTGGAGGTGCACCTAGGAATTGATGTTGGCCTCCCAATTATCGAAGTCTTCACCTTGCTTCCCGCTATAGGCGTCAAGAAACTTGACTTGGACTCGTTCCCTACGCGGGCGTGCCTCCTCCCCCTTTGGGACTGCCAGTTTGGCACCCTCTATGGCACCAACACATAATTATTCTGTGTTCTGCATACGGGCCTGCATTACAGAGTCGATCCGCATCATCATATCGTGGGCAAAATCTCTAAAACCTACTCGGATGGACTGCAGCGCTATGTCATGGCCCCTTGAAGCGTGCATTTGTTCCTGTTGGACGCGGATCAATACATCTATGCTCTTTGCGATTGCATCCAGCTTACTCTGCACGTCCTCTTGTGCCAGCCCCTGTGTATGTTGTTCTGCTGTGGCAGCTAACTCCTTTTCCAACTCAGTAGCCGCCGCTATGCGCCTCCTTCTCTGCCTTCTCAATCGCAGTTTCCACTCCATTCTCTTCTCCTCTTCCAGTGCTGCTGCTCTAATGGGTCTTTCAAGGCCTTTATCTCGGCCACCGCAGCATCCCTTTCATCCTAGGGGATATACATCAACGCTTCTTCATCCTCCCCCAGGGATAAGTTAGCCACCCATTCTGACGCCATCTTCTCCAGTTTCTTCTCATCTTCACTGGTCCCACTTGATTCCCCTCTTTCCCGTCTCCTCAAAGGCCTCACCAGGGGTATCTCCTCCTCTTCTTCTTCTTCTTCTTCTTCTTCTTCTTCTTCTTCTTCTACTTCTTTAAGTTGCTCCTCCTCTTCTTTGTGCACCCTCTCCATCTCTTCCTCAAGCGTCTTCTTTTTCGCCGCCTGTGCTTCCAACATGGCCTTCTTCTTGGCCTCCTCTTTTCTTTCTTTCAGTATGGCGGCGACACTCTCTTCCTGCTCTTTTGTATATGGGGTGGTACTCGTACCACTACGCGTGTCAACCATGGTGAAAGGTGTATAACCGGATGACAGTTCCAACCCTCACCACTTACTCTCACCCCCTGACTGACTTAACTTTTAGACTGACTCAACTAAGGACCACAAAGCCTTACTCTTTGATCCAGCCAGGTTACCACGGCCGACGGAAGCTTTCGCCACCACCATCCTTTGCAATCCAGACACAGGTGCCCTGCACCTGCAGTCAATCCCATCTGGCTTTCACTCCGTTTCAGGACTTCATCAACTAGGGTCTCTAGCCTGACTCTACTTCTAGGATGTCACTACAGGACTTATTACTGATCAGGAGGCATTTAAGGAAATCCCCCGTTACTCCTCAGGAACTATTTAACGTCGCAAACAGGATGACGCGATCAGCAAGTCCTCTCAAGACTTGGACAGCTCGTTGTGCAGCCCACAACTCGGATTTTGGGCCTACCATGCCACACTGAGCAGCCCGCCGGTCTGTACTGGTCCTTGGGAGGGTTCGTGTCCTCCGTGTCAGTCAGCCGTCAGACATGGCCTTTAGCCCTACTCAGCCCCTGTGGGTTTGGTCAACGCAGCTCTATGACCTCATTCACAAATTCCTATCATCTGGACATAAGAGACTAAATGCAGAAAGAAGAGACAAACTGACTCAGCAAGTACCATGGGGTATGTGCACATCCATAGGGCAAGGGGACAGGCTGAAGGCTTGGCGAGAGTACACCAACTCCAGCTTGGTCAAACTTCGTGGTCAACAGCTCCGGTCAACACCCTGGTCACCACCTTGGTCAACACTAGTCAACGCCTCGGTCAACTCCTTGGTCAATGCTGGTCAACTCTCCGGTCAATGCCAACATGCACCCCGGTCAACACTGAGAAACACTCGGTCAACTTTGGTAAACGCCTGGTCAATGCTGGTAAACACTTCGGTCAACTTTCGCTATGGTCGCCAACCCTCCTTCCCTTCACCTTCCTTCTTCGTCCTCCCTCGGCTATGGCTTCTCTCTCACCTTCGTCTTTATCTTCTTCACCCCCTGGTATGGCTTTTCTTTCTCCCTTCTTTGTCTCTCCTTCCGCCTCCACCTCAATTATGATTCTCTCCCTCTCTTTGTCCCTTCANTCTTCACCCCCTGGTATGGCTTTTCTTTCTCCCTTCTTTGTCTCTCCTTCCGCCTCCACCTCAATTATGATTCTCTCCCTCTCTTTGTCCCTTCACTCTCTTCTTTACTCCTCTTCTCCATGTCTGAGCTCGGCGGCTATGGCCGCCACTTTCTCCCTTACGCCTCACAACAATCTTTTATCGCTCCTCTCTCTCTCTCTCTCTCTCTCCCTCTCCTGTCTCTTATACACATCTAGATGTGTATAAGAGACAGATTCCCGCTCCTCTCTCTCTCTCTCTCTCTCTCTCTCTCTCTCTCTCTCTCTCTCTCTCTCTCTCTCTCTCTCTCTCTCTCTTCGTCGTTGTCCTCTGTGCAGGTTCGCGGCACACTCCTTCCTTGGCGCAGCTATGGCGGACCCCCCTTCTTCGTTGGCGCAACTACAGCTATGGCGCCCGACTTTGAACAACGGCGATGGCGCGTGGAGTAACGGGAACCAGCTCTGATACCAATGCAATCAGACTCACTTTCTTCTTCGCTTCACATACATGCAAACAGATGGCGATTCACACTGGCGCACAGCGCCCACTCAAAACTCAGAGATATGGAACTCGAGAACACAGTTCAGGCGAAACTTGCTTCAACAGGCTATGGCGCTTCACCGCCTATACAACCCAATTCTCGACACCGTCTCCAACACCACTGTTCGCACACACTCAACTCTGGATCACCCTGAATACCCCACACACACACACACACTCTTGCGTCTCTCTCCTATCTACAGCGGCTATGGCCGCTTAACCACTAACTATGGCTACGCTAACTTCTTCCAGCCCTCTTCAACCTCGGGCGCTCTGCAGCGCACAAGTCGCTCGAGACAGCGCTTCCGCATGGCTTACGCAGCGAATGAATGAATCCCTGGACGCTGCCTCTTGATTTATACTTCTGTTGGTCGCTGGTCTGCCCCTTTCCTCCAGGCCCTCGGAGCACACAGTCCCACACGGTACTTGCTTGACTGGACTGCGACTGACTGGACCGGTACCGCTGACTGCACGACGTTGCACTGCCGACTCGATGCAGTCGCACTGCCTACTCGGCGCAGTTGGACTCCCAACTTACCTACAGTCCTCTAGCCTAGCAGTTTCGACCTCTACACAGCTCTAACCCCTACTTGACAGATCTACAGATAGAACCCCTACAACTACAGGGACCTATGACAAAGAAAAGTCACTACTAAAATACAGGTCGCGGGCTCAACTCACACAGGGGTCTACTGGATACTGTACACGGGTGCAGGTAAGGTCTAGGGATCGAACCCTGGGATCTGCATCTGCTTCTGCAAAGGTTAAAACCGTTTCAGTTTTTATTTTTTTATTACTTTTTTTACTGGTCGCCGGACCGCCAACTGGTCGGCCGCAATACGGTCGGCGGTCGGGGTCGGCGGTCGGCAGGGATGCAACCCTGGTTCTACCCCTCCTGGGACACACAAAACACAGCACGAGAAAAGAAATAGCTTACGGGCACAGCAACCATCACATAGAGTCTCGGACACAGGACAGCAAAACACACTCAGACACAGAGATCTTGAGCAAATCAGATCCACAGAGAGCAATTCTCAGAAAACTGCAGGAATATCACACTGCAACTGTGTGGATCATAGCAACGGATGGATTCCCTCCATAGGAGCCATACTATATATGCATTGTGCATTGAGAGGAATACTGTAACCACATCTACTTGGGAGTGTCCTGATCACCTCAAATGCACGTTTCTCAGTTTCTGTGCGATTATGATCCATATCCGCCTCATGATAAGTGGTTTTGAACCAAGGACATGGAATCAAGTTCATCACCTGGGAGGAGAGCGCTCAGGTGCTGGTGATAGACTTTCTCAGTCATATGACATGTTGGCACTGTGCCTCTTCTCAATGGATTCTGCCATTTAACTCTCTCTCATGCAGGAAACGAACCTCATCCACCCCTTATCTGCCCCCTGAATTCACTGTTCTGAATGTAGGGGATAGGGGGCAGTGGCTGGGGAAACAGAGTTTTTTAAAGCTTTTTCCCAACCACACGGGATGCTGAGTCTTGCATCATTTCTTTTCCATCCTCAACGTTTCTGGGGTGGCAAGGAAACAACCAAGGCACCTCTCATATGGGTTGTTAATCCTGTGGCAAATCTTCTTCTACATGTCCTTGAATTCTTTTCTCCACAGGCAGCGAAGCGAAGAAATCCAAACTTATTCACACCCTTTTTGTGGTCAGCTCTACCCTTACAATCTTATGCACACCCCCTTTTGAGGTCAGCCCGCACTTTTCACCTCACAATCCCACCCTTGCAACCCATATACCGGGTAAGTTGAACTAACATCAACAAGGGCAAATAAAATTTGAAGTCAAAGGAGATTTTCTCGCACAACCCAATTCAGAGGTTGTGGAAGAGTCCGACTGAAGACAGCAGAATATGACTGCGAACACTCAGGCGCCTCAACTTTCCTTACAGCAACAGGATCATGGTTTTGCAACTGTATTTAATGTCAGAAGAGATGAGAATTTGACAGCACATTCATATCAGATGAACAAGGAAAGCAGAAGCAACAGCAGCAGCAGCAGCAGCAGCAGCAGGTACCCACCACATGACCAAACTCATGGAAATATGTTTCCACTTCAGAATGCTTCAAAAGAGAGGGCTTGTTGTTCGTCGGTTTTGAAAAATTAGCAAGCATTGCTGCAACAGGCCGCTGCAAACACAAACCACAGCAGTGGGCAAGCAGCACACATGCAGTGTCAGAAACATCAATAATCCTACCAACCGCAATATTACATCATGTTGTCAGAGAAATAACATTCATGCACCAAGGGGCCTAGCTCAGTTGGTACACCCCTGAACTGTTGAAATACAGACTCAAGTTTGAATCCAGATACCTTCAGATGAAGAGAAAAAACATCCATGCAGCAAACCTGGCAAACCACCAATTCAATTTCAATCATGTAGTATCACATGCATTGTCATGCATAAACTAGTGATATCGTAATTGTCATGCACTGCACGGAGAAAAGGACAAGATTGCTGAAACCTAGGACATAAAACATAGAGGCACGGGAGTGAGAGAGTAAGACCCCTTCTCGCCGCCTTCCTTCTCCTCCGGTGATTCCCCCTAGTCTCAAGGTCTCACTAATGTAAATTCCACAATTACTGCAACTACAAGTCGTCAAAATGTCTCCAAGAATATGCCTCAGCTGTAGGCAGGATCCCAACCGTGTTCACAACCCTACGTACATTATAGCGCACAGAATCCTTGCCTTCTCTCACAATGGACGCAACAGACCAGAACGTTCCTTGTCATTACTGGCATGGGCCCCGACCTACATGTGCTGGTGGGTGAATGAGAACTGTTGAGAAACAGATCCAGTGTCCAAAGCCTGCTGGAGACACTAAAGTTCCCCGCTAAGCTGTTTGGCACAGTATCCACACACGGAAGCAAGTTTTGCCTCCGGCATGGGAAGACGCTGCACTGACACTTTTGAAGGTGTCACAAATAACTTGTGCAATACCTTCGTGGAAAACCCATGGACGTGTGCCCAAAAGTTTTGCCATCAGGGGAAGATGATCCCCTCCGGCACGTAACCCCTCTTCAAAGTCACCATTGCGACAACTTGGGGGCATGCCCCCCTGGTGCCATGTGTGTGCATACGCATGAACGTCGTACTGTAAAACTTCCCAGGTTAGTGCTCACATAGCAGCAGTGGGGCCCAGCCACTATTGCAAACCCAACCCAGAGGTCTCACCACAGCCAACGATGGGGCATCAGTTCCTCCAAATTTCCATTGCAGCTACACAACTTTGAATTGGGATGATATAGCAGCAAAAGTTTTCCGCATGATTCTAATACACAAGCGCAACAGCTAAGCAAGGGAAGATGCAAAGAGGAGGAAAGATAGCAAAAAAATACTATCATCCCCTAACACAATGCATCCTCATCATGACTGTACCGAACCAGAAAGGAGCTTGTATACATTCATAGCAAGGGCGCATCGTGTTCAGGGGAAGATAGCTGTGCTTGTGCAAAGGAACAAGCTGCTCGGTTTTGTTTTTTTTTCCTGCAACAGGTATCACAATAAACTCCTTGCACCTCCGACAGAAACTTGCAACTTCTTCGGCTGATGGATTTCATTGAAGCCCTTTTTTTAAAACAAAGCTCACATCAGAGGCCCTCCTTTCTGGCGCAAACCTCTCCTGGCACCGAGATTACCATGGCTAAGAAAGCGATTTTCCTTTTGTTTACCCCCGAGAATTTTTTGTGTATGCTTATCTTGTTTTGAACTTGTCACTTTCCGTCACTCTCTACGAGGGTACTAAGGTTGCGAAATAATCCTTTCACAGAGGGTTTTGGATCGACGCTTTTAAAGTTTCTGCAAGCTAACCCATCCACAAACACATAAAGGTGCTGCTGAAAAGCGGCCAACAGCCTTAGGTTGTAGAATCGAGCCTTCGTAGATCAGAACAGACTAGGGTGAACACGGCACATGAAAGGGCATACAGCAGTCTGAATGCATCTGACCATATTTCTGAGGCATACGAATGTTGATTGTCCATGGTCCTGCATCATACAGATATGAGAGGATTCCCAACATAATGACAGGAGTGCAGAAAGAAGGAACATACATAGGTGGTGCTAAAGGCCATCACTCACCATCCTTGAGCCATCCAATAGATAGCAACCCGGTTGCAGAGGGCACACGCATGCATGACCATACTTCCCCTCCCTGTGTGTTGATGTCACACCAGATTTAGACAAAAGAATGCATGCGCAGAGATAGATGGCAATGCATCAGTGCATAGCAAAACCACACAGAGAACATTTCTGCCTCCTACAGGCAAACAACAAAAAAGCATCAGGATCACAAGTTTACCACTCACTGCAGCCTTAACAGGCACACACACATCCCTTGCCAAAAACACGTGCACATGGGAACGACAGCAGTCTGGAAATGCATACATCACAAATCACAAACAATGACTCTGTGCTTTAGATATCACTTGCTGCCTGATAAATAATTGCATTATAAATTAGTAGAAAACTTATTGCCGGGTATTGGCCAATAATTGCACAAACACTGTCAAGCAAATGAAAAAATATGATTTAAAAATCTTTAAAACATGGCTGTGCCGGCAACTGGCCGGTTGGACTGGGCCGGATGGCCCGGTTGGATCCCCGGTGGTCCAACCGGAATTCCAGTTGGGCCCAAAAGTGGGTCAAAAAAATAAAAAAATAAAAAAATTGAAAACATGGTTGGACTGCACTGGCCGAGATCTCCCCAAATCCACAAAGAAAACTTTGAACAGAG